GTCATGCCCTATGCCCAGGGGCCCTCCGTCCGCAAGCTCTCCAAGATCTCCACCCTGATGTTGGCCCGTAACTACATACTCATGCTGTCCAGCTCCCTGGAGGAGATGAAGAAGCTGGTGGGAGACGTGTACGGAGGTGGTGGTGCCCAGAGTCGCACCAGCCACCGCCGGATCACCCCTCCAGCCCCCACAGCCCACCTCCCCCTGCACCCCCTGGCCCAGTCCCTGCACTCCCTGGTGGGCAGCACGGCCTCTGCTCTCCACCACCCTTCGCCTCTCCCGGCTCCAGCCCCACACTCACCGCCCTCTGCAAGCTACCTGGGCTTCCACCATGCACCCGTACAGAGCCTGCTGAAGGACCCTCTCCACCTAGCCAGCTCCTACAGGCACTTTCCTGGTATGCCCTGTCCCTGCTCGCTCTGCCAGCCTCTACCAACCACCGCATCCACCCTGCACAGCTTTTCCATGGGCAAGTGAGCAGGCGACACCCAGGACTGAACTCTGTAGTTGAGGCCCAGGCCCACCCCAGGACTAAGTAGTTTACTGCCTGTGGACTGAGAGAAATTGTTGGTTGAACTGTAAAAAAAAACATTGGTAGCCCGCAGGACCTGTACATATTTTGTATATATCTTCTATTGAGTATGTCGCTGCTATTTTTCTAAATTACATTCCTTGTTTATATTGAAAATATTTAAATGCACACACAGGGACCATTTCAGAAACACTTAGATCATTTAAACCAGATAATTTGGCTATGCTTTGTATTTCATACTGTTGTTCTTGAAGCTCTTTTTCGAATGAAACAGTGATAATATCTGCTATTGCTATTCGATATGGAATATCAGTGTTACGGTAACAAATGAGAAAGATGGAAAGTGCTGTGTCCTTCTCTGCAGGTGTCTTATTTTCCTAAATTAAACCTTTAAAAACATTCATTTTCTGCTGTTTTACTTGAGACATAAATTGATGTAAATCTATTTACATCTGTTTACATTTTATTTGCATGTGTTTTTCAGCATGTCTTTTATCTTTCTAATTTTGAAACAGGCTACATAGCACTAAAACAGTAAAACACAAAGAAAGATATCCCTAACAGTTTACCATCACTGTGCACTGCATGTATTTTAGGGTCTCGATGGTAGACCCAGGGGTTGCAGTAGTTAGCGGTGCTGAGCAGGGTAGGGGAGGGGTGGTGTGGGTGAAGAGTAGAGAGGGTGTTGGTTGCTAACCAGCCTGGAGAGGAGAAGCCTACCCCTGAGCTAAAGAGAGACAGAAGAGCCAGACAATGCAACGCTGCAGAGGGAGGCTGAATGTGGCACTCTGAGCTCTGGGATCATCCATCTTCACCTCAACAGGGTGTGGGAGATGAAAGGGCAGCGCGGGCGCCAGGACGGCGCATCACTTTTGTCTGGCGCAGGCGGGGGACAGGGCTGTGGCCCTCTCATCTGTGGGCCAGAGGATTTGTCACTGTCCCTGTATTCATACCTAGGGCACATCAGAATAATAAGAGTAAATATGTGCCGTTTTTACGTAGGATGTTTAAACGTAAGAATACACACCAAGTCTCCTTAGGAGAGAATATATGGCACTATTGCAATTTCAAGTGTTTTGAAAACCAACAGATCAAAACAGAGGATATCAAAGTTTTAGTTTTTTAGTGTTTAAAAGTTTAAAAAATACATATCTTCATGAAACCAATTATATTTTTTTACTTATAGTCAATGATTGACTAACTATACCAAACACTCCAGAACAATGACATATGTGGGACGGACGCCACAGACGTGTATTTACTCAAACCCACAACAATGGCTCACCCCCACTTAGCAACAAATCAAGCGTGTAAAATACATGCTTATCCTCCCATGGCTGACGGATGAGGTGGAGATCAGGGGAGAAATAAAGAGATGTAACTCCTCAGACCCCTTCAACCCCCTCCTCCATGAGAGCTCTGAATAGAGCTGGACAATAGCCATGCACGGCACACAAAGACTGGAGGAGGCCAAGCTCTCGTGCCTGGGACACAGGCCCCCTCCATTCAATCTACATTTCATCATGGTAACAAGCGCTGTTGGGCCAAAAGGCCTGACACCTCGCCCGCCACAAAGGCGGTTAGCTCTAATTTATGGGGCTATTGACACTGTAAAGAACCCCTGTCAGTACTCTGGGACTGTCAGCTGTGGGACGTCCCAGTGGGGGGAGGCAGCTGCCAGCCTAGCCCGGGGAGGTGCCTTCTGTGGTGGGGACAGGCGCTCCGGCATCACCTGGTCCCTGGTCCCCTGACACTTGGACCCTGGGTCCTCCCACTAGGCCCCCCTTTATTTGGGCACAGGTGGGAATGGGAAGCAGAACACATTGTGGGGATTAGTGGGGTCGGCCTCCCTTTGGTGTCCTCCCTCCTTTAGGTGGATAATTAGGGACATTGACTTGTGCAAAGCTGGTGTTTCCTGATCGCTAGCAGATGGTGTTAACCCACAGAGCAGCAGCAGCAGGATGGAGAGTGTGAGGGTGTGTGTGTCTGTGTGGTGTGCAATGGATATGCATCTTAAATCATACAATATTGACAGTGCCTTTCTGCACCATTATGACCAGCCACTGTTGTCATCATAGTGCTTTTACATTTTACATTTACATTTTAGTCATTTAGCAGACGCTCTTATCCAGAGCGACTTACAGGAGCAATTAGGGTTAAGTGCCTTGCTCAAGGGCACATCGACAGATTTTTCACCTAGTCGGCTCGGGGATTAGAACCAGCGACCTTTCGGTTGCTGGCACTACGCTCTTAACCACTAAGCTACCTGCTGGTTGCTGGCACTTTCGGTTGCTGGCACTACGCTCTTAATCACTAAGCTACCTGCCGTTGCTTTTAACATATGCTGACCCGTTATGTGCTCTCTGAAATATATACAGTATGTTGGGAGCATATGCTGTGAATATGCTACCATGTTTAGGGAAATCCACATCAAACACATAGAAGGGCTTTTAATGTGAAGGTTTTGTCATGTTCAATGACTGCAGGCCTATTTCTACATTACCACGAACAGCTTGACAATACTTTGGCGCTTATCCATAAAATAAATATATATATAAACATGCGGGGCAAAAACATTCTAAAATTCAACAGCTTTTTCAGTAGCAAGAAAAATACCTGATAGCGACACAATGAACTGCAGCATCAGAGAAAATAAAAGTCTCACGTTTTCCAAATGAGTGGAGAGTAAAGACTGCACAGTCAGGATTTCCACTATTGTATGCAGTAGTCATGATCATGCTAGCTGACGGCCCCACCCCATAGACACAGATGGATGAGTTAACAGGAGGGAATGCTAATCAATAGAAGGGTGTGTGTTACCCTGGGCTCAGCAGTAGACAGGATCGACAGAGTTAATTAGGGAACTGAAGGAGCCAATTAGGTGGATTGAGGGTCTGGACAGGGGAGACATATTGGAGAACATACGCACACATTGTGCTGCGTCTGCATACAGGGGATCTTCAATTAGGGGAGAGCTCTCCTCCAGAAGCTCGCAGCCTGACCTTTTTACTATCAGTTCAGTAAAGTCGGGCTCCCCTTCACCCTGCATACTGATGAGGGGGAAACACAGCTGGGATAGGGTCAACACACCCACTGGTCTGGGAATTAATGTTGACCCATTAAAGATAGAGTCACATAAGGGCAGATTTGATTACTAATCATGTGGCTAGTTGAGTTAAATCTTATGTCTCGCTTCATTATCTACCTACAACAAAATAGATGCATTTTCAGACGTCCTCTCTAGGAGACAGTGCGATTGACTGGCAGGCCACACTTTACCTTATTTATAATATTGAACAAGCTCAAACTAGTTAAAAATGATATGCTATAGACCATGAACATTTTCAGAAACCATAAAAAGTAATAGCATAATTTGCATACCATTAAAATGTGTGATACAAACTTTGAAAGGGCATAATTAGCCAAATATGCAAACCTATAACAACTGGCTCAGCCCTAAAGGCTTATTTTAAAATATTTGGATAACTTTCACCTTAGCTGGCCTTGATAATAAATGCAAATGGGTGCAAGGTTGGGGTTAAATTATGATACATTTATAAGGAGAATTTGAACGCAATGTTAGATTTAGTTTTCATAAAGTTATTGCGCCAGCGCAGCAGCCTACCAAACGCGTAGCTTGATCCTTGGCAGACACCGTAGTCCTAAATAAATGCCCAAAGAGCGTAGCTACCTAATAGCTAACAGAATTAATTTGGAAAATAATAATATTACATTTTACATGAGCTATCTATCCTAAAAATGTATTTACTAGAAGCATATACAAACTGAAAAGCGGTCGGTCTTTTACAAGCTTCTTCCTCATTCAGTGGGGTCAGAGTTCAGTAAATATTGGTGATGTCATGGTCTGAAGATGGCTGAAGACGGGTGAGTGAGAAGTCGCAAAATAGTTAAAATATAAATTAACCATCGTAATATATCCCACCCTCGGCATGTTTTTCTTTCATCTAATATATTTCCTTCATATTTAGCTATTGCTACATTCACCTATTTCAAAACGACGCAATCAGTTGCTTTGTCTGTTCTCGAGTCAATCGGGTTTTGTTTACTAAAAATATTGCACCATCTGTTTAGCTTGATGGCTGGCTAACTAGCTAGCAGTGGCTAGCAGAATTGTTACTGCCTAATCGCGGAGACCAACGTATTAATAGTGTGTTGTGTATATATTAACAGTGATTGGAAAAATACAGCGCTATGGTTTCCATTGTAGCTTTGTTAGCTATCTAGCTAGCTAACGTTAACAGCTAATGCAAATTCACTGGTGTTGATTAGCAAGTCAGCTAGATTGTTATCAGAGATGAGTGTATGCGCACTGTCACTCCTACCTGACCTGATCGTTAATGGCCTAGCTAAATAGTTATATAGCTAAAATGCAAGCTATGCATTGCACCATTAGTACCTGTTGATCCCGTTTTAATAATCTGCCATCACCATGTCTCTTTATTCCAGGGAAAGCTGCGAAGGCTGGTGGGGAGGCTGGCTTCAGCAAAGCTTCCAGGCCGTCAAAGATAAGGTAGGCATCCATGCTAGCCTGCACGGATAACCAGATTATCTCTCCAGTTTCATAATGAGCGACTAAATATAGCTATTATGTTATGCGCTGTGCCTTAAAAAGGCTAATTCAATGTCTAAAACATGATTCATTATAAAACAAGGTGAAAATCAATATCCTTGTGACATCCAATGTACACTGATATTGCAGAATGCAGACCTCTTACTGTACTCTGTTTGCACTTGTCAATGTAACTCCAACATTTAATTGTTTTTACAGTCATCTGAGGCATACGAGTTTATAAAGCGTGACCTGACAGAGTTCTCCAACGTGGTGCAACATGACGCTGCGTGCTCCATCGTCGCCACAGCAAGCGCCGTTAGAAGCAAACTAGCGGTAGGCCATTTGGTTCTTTACTAGTTTTTAGTTTTAATGTCACAAGCATAAGTATAGTGAAACACCTTTCTTGCTAGTTCTAAACCCAACAATGGAGTAATCAATAACAATATAATACTAAAAAAATAACATAAGGTAGAGCAAAAACACACAAGAAATAAAAATAAGAAATATGAAGAACATGAGAAAGTAAGTAAGCATACTATATACATGGTCAGTTCCAGTACCATATTTACAATGTGCAGGGATACTGGAGTGATAGAGGTAGATATGTATAGGGGTAAGCTGACCAGGCATCAGAATATATGATAAACAGTGTAGCAGCGGCGGTGTATATGATGATTGTATATGAGTGGGTGTGCATGTGTGTAGAGTCAGTATAAACGTGTGTGCATATAATGTGTGTGAGAAATTGTAATGGAGTGTGTGTGTGTGTGTGTGTAGGGCCCTGTGAGTGTCCATAGAGACAGTGCAAAAAATAAAATACAAGGGTCAACTCAGTCTGTGTAGCCATTTTGTTAGCTATGGGTCACAGTGACCCATATTAGAAAAGTTAATATGCATTATCACTTGGTTATTTATAGGCATACGTCCTGACTGTAACATGTCACCTGTCCCACTTTGTTTCAGGTGGAGGGCTCCTCTGATACCACAGAGAAGGTGAAGAAGAGCCTGTCCAGTTTCTTAGGAGTGATAACAGACACCCTCGCTCCTCCCCAGGACATGACCATCGACTGTGATGTCATTACGCTAGTGGCAACTCCAGCAGGCACCACAGAGGTGTATGACAGCACCAAGGTGAGTATGTTAATATTGTGTTCAACTAATCACTATGACAGTGTGATTGAACTAATTAAGGACTAGATACTATGCTGTTTTACATTTACTGCTAATATACCCGAATCTTTCTCAGAAATGGTGTGTTAACATCATGTGTTATAACTTTTTCCCCCATCTGTTCAAACATGTAAGAGTGGTTAGTCTCAGAAGTGTTACTATAAAAATAAATAGAGTCGCACACTCTATACAGTACCAGTCAAAAGTTTGGACACACCTACTCATTCCAGGGTTTTTCTTTATTTTAACTATTTTTTACATTATAGAATAATAGTGAAGACATCAAAACTATGAAATAACACATATGGATCATGTAGTAACCAAAAAAGTGTTAAACAAATCAAAATATATTTTATATTTGAGATTCTTCAAAGTAGTCACCATTTGCCTTGATGAAAGCTTTGCACACGCTTGGCATTCTCTCAACCAGCTTCATGAGATAGTCACCTGGAATGCATTTCAATTAACAGGTGTGCCTTGTTAAAAGTTAATTTGTGGAATTGATTTCCTTCTTAATGCGTTTGAGCCAATCAGTTGTGTTGTGACAAGGTAGGGTTGGTATACAGGAGACCAAGTCCATATTATGGCAAGAACAGCTCAAATAAGCAAAGAGAAACGACAGTCCATCATTACTTTAAGACATGAAGGTCAGTCATTTGGGAAAGTTTCAAGAACTTTGAAAGTTTCTTCAAGTGCAGTCGCTGAAACCATCAAGTGCTATGATGAAACTGGCTCTCATGAGGACCGCCACATGAAAGGAAGACCCAGAGTTACCTCTGCTGCAGAGGATAAGTTCATTAGAGCTACCAGCCTCAGAAATCGGCAATTAACTGCACCTCAGATTGCAGCCCAAATAAATGCTTCACAGAGTTCAAGTAACAGACACATCTCAACATCAACTGTTCAGAGGAGACTGCGTGAATCAGGCCTTCATGGTGGAATTGCTGCAAAGAAACCACTACTAAAGGACACCAATAATAAGAAGAGACCTGCTTGGGACAAGAAACACGAGTAATGGACATTAGACTGGTGGAAATTTGTCCTTTGGTCTGATGAGTCCAAATCTGAGATTTTTGGTTCCAACCGCCGTGTCTTTGTGAGACGCAGAGTAGGTGAACGGATGATCTCCGCATGTGTGGTTCCCACCATGAAGCATGGAGGAGGAGGTGTGATGGTGTGTCAGTGCTTTGCTGGTGACACTATCAGTGATTTATTTATAATTCAAGGCACACTTAACCAGCATGGCTACCACAGCATTCTGCAGCGTTACGCCATCCCATCTGGTTTGCGCTTAGTGCAACTCTTTTGTTTTTCAACAGGACAATGACCCAAAACACACCTCCAGGCTGTGTAAGGGCTATTTGACTAAGAAGGAGCGTGATTGAGTGCTGCATCAGATGACCTGGCCTCCACAATCACCCGACCTCAACCCAATTGAGATGGTTTGGGATGAGTTGGACCGCAGAGTGAAGGAAAAGCAGCCAACAGGTGCTCAGCATATGTGGAAACTCCTTCAAGACTGTTGGAAAAGCATTCCGGGTGACTACCTCATGAAGCTGGTTCAGAGAATGCCAAGAGTGTGCACAGCTGTCATCAAGCCAAAGGGTGGCTACTTTGAAGAATATAAAATCTATGAATCCATATGTGGTATTTCATAGTGTTGATGTCTTCACTATTATTCTACAATGTAGAAAATAGTAAAAATAAAGAAAAACCCTTGAATGAGTAGGTGTGTCCAGACTTTTGACTGGTACTGTGTGGAGTCCCCTGTAGCTCAGTTGGTAGAGCATGGCGCTTGCAACGCCAGGGTTGTGGGTTCGTTTCCGATGGGGGGCCAGTATGAAAAATGAATGCACTCACTAACTGGATAAGAACGTCTGCTAAATGACAAAAAATGTAAAAAAAGAAATGTGTACCGTATATATATGACTGGTACTGTCATATATACACACACACACAACATTTCGGCATCACTGTGCCTTCTTCAGGGTAATATCATGAATGTTTGAACCAGGGTATGTAGACAAACAGTGCAATTAGTGCAACCAATGATAATAGTGAGGGGTGTGTCATAATTATTAGGTTGATTAGGATGAATTGAGATGAAACCGTTAAAAGACAATAGTTTACAGCATATTGAATATATTAGGCTATTGTTATCATTAGCATAACATTATCAAAATGCAAAACAAACAAAATACGGTCTCATTTTGTTGCAATACTAGATATCAGAACACGTTATGTCACATGAGTATCTGAGTTACAGTGTGTGTTTTTTTCCCCCAGGCTCGTCTTTACAGTCTGCAGGCTGACCCTGCTACATACTGCAATGAGCCTGATGGTGAGACAGTTCACATCTTTCTTTTCTATTGGTCTTCACTATTCTCATTAAAGAAAAGGTCATGTACCATGTAACGGCATTGCCCAGGCTTCATTCCCTCAAAACATTAAAAAGCCATCAGAATGGCAGTGACAATGGACTTAAGGCCCTTTAATTACTCATTCTACTCTACCCTAAATGTCCTCAAATGCACTCCAATACTTGTTTTAAAATAATGGTCAAAAATCATCTCCTATTACAATGAATACAAATAATTTGGCAGGACAAGACTTGGGAAGTTTGGACTTCTATGCCAGTTATTTTCATGCAGTTGTTAAACTGTAATGAAAAACTAAAAAGGTGTCTTGAGTGTGTTTTAATTGTGTGTCCTGTGTTTTGTCCCAGGTTCCCTAGAGCAGTTTGATGCGTGGCTCTCAAGCTTCAGTCTGGAGGAGAGGAAAGGAGAGATCTCTGACCTCCTAGTCAACACCCCCTCTATCAGGGCCCTTTACACCAAAATGGTACACTTTCTAATACGGTTGGATCAAATTACAATAGGTTCATTTATCAATGATGATTGACAGCCGTTGTCAATGGTGACAACATCGTGATGTGACAGACGATGGTTTATCCTATTTGAACCTGACTGGCGCCGCGCAGTAGGCCTAACGGAGTCGGATAGCACATGAGTGACATTCCGAGTAATCTGACTTCCTATTTGCTATAGCCTATTTCAATTAATAGGCTATGTTTATATAGGCCTACAGAACGCAAGAGAGGAATGTGGGCTAGACAGAGTGGAGAATTTCACCAGAGCTTCGCAAAATGTCCAGTCTCTCTCACGCTGTCAGATGCGTGGGCCTTATAGGCTAAATCTATAAAACATTTATAACGGACATCCTTAACTATATTGTGTCTAGCAGTTTAAAAAGAAAACATAGGCTATTTTCCCTTGTCTCTCCATTCAATATGAATATTTGGGCTAGTACGCTTTCATAATTTTATGCATGCATGCTTTCTCTCTCGGTCAAACAATGAATTAATCTAACAGAGTTCCGTCTCAAAAAGTTGTTTAAATAGCCTAAAAACATAAGGTAGCCAGGGGACTAATAATGAGAGAGAACAAACAATATCAAGCGCCATCATGTGCGCGAGTCACAGACACACACCTGTTCCATGCTGAAGCTCGACCAGAAAGGAATATTAGAAAAGATTTGCCTGCACTTAGCCTCTGCCCAGGGTTTCAACATTATCTTTCGTCGTGAGTTTTATATTTGTTTATTTTTTGTTGGCCAATACCAGCATACATCACAATGTTTTATGAGTACATAATCACGATAGGACATTTTCATCCCTAGGTGCCAGTAGCTGTAGCCCATTCTGAATTCTGGCAGCGGTATTTCTACAAAGTCTTTCAGTTGGACCAGGTAATTCACTCACTTTTTTGTTTTGTTACTGGCATGTATAGCTCTCATGAACTGTCATGCACCTTCTTCTATCAGAATCCCATGTTAGAATGTAAACCTTGCCCCCTGCTGGCCAGTTGTAAGATTAGTTTGGAGTAGAGTTCTGCTACCCGACCCGAGCCCGACGGGCCCCCGATATTATACATAGGGTTAGGGCTGGATCGGGCCTGTTTTTTCATCAATAACTAGGGTACAGGCATGGCTCAGGTATCACTAAATTGATCACTAACATTTTTAAGCTGAGCCATTTGCTCGTGCTCTGCTGCGCAGTACAGTGATATCTGACTAAGATCATAACATTGTGTCAGAAGTGCTTCAACCTCATCAAATATAAGACGGGAGAGATTATTTCACAGAAAATAATAATGTTCCTTGAGTTTTGTCTGAGTTTAGAGTGACGAATAGTAGCTAACAGCTAACTGCTCTCTAATGTTTCGTAATTGAGCAGAGCAGCCCAAGCGGAGCCGTTGCTATGGATACTCAGAGCGCCATGAACAGAGCAGCTAATAGATTTACTAACGGAGAAAGTTATTTCTGATTTCGGGCCGGTCGGGCCTTTAATTTGGCAGAAACAATCGGGCCTGGGTAGGGTTTGAATGTCGCGTGCATGGGTAGGGCTCTACGTCAGAGCTCTGGTAGCTTAGTAGACTTTTGGAAAACAAATCTTGGCACCCAGAACCAAATCTCCCGCTATTTGATTTGGATTCGGAAGTTTCCAGTCTGTCCTAACAAAGTCCACGCCCCCCTCTTCCAAAGCTCATTCCCAGGCTCTCCCTCCCTTTCTGGAAAGTACATGTGTTTTTATGATATTTTATGTGCTGCATGCTGACAAAATGGAGGTATTGGACAATGTATTTGGTGCAACTATTTCACAGGTAAGCAGTGTTTTTATTAGAGAGTTTTCCAGTTAAAATCCCCGTCCCCACTTCATACCATCACCTTAGCCGATAAATAGACACACTAAAAAGCTCGTAGTGTTCTGCTGATGGGTAATTACTAATGTGACTGACCACCAGGAGGAGGCGAGGCGAGTGGCCTTGAAGCAGAGAGCAGAGCAGACTACACACACAGAGGCTCTGGGCTGGGAGGAGGAAGATGAAGGTATGTCGGATAGGGAATTTCACAATGGTGAAATGTCTTAGTTCTGTGAGATGTGACCTGAAATAGGTCAGTCAGATTAGCACAGGTCTGTCTCATGTGACTCACTGTTCTCTCTCCCTTATTTCTATCCCAGATGACTTCCTTGGCGCCACGTCTTCATCTCGCCTGGACTTCACGCCCCCATTAGACGACCCTGTGACCCAGCTGTCACCACTTACACCAGTCACCATGGCGACAACCCCGCTCAGCCCCATCCCGTCTCCGAGCGGGGAGCGCTCCTCTCCCCTCTCCCTGAACAGCGACAGTGGCAGCCTGCCCACCCAGGTGGAGGTGAGACCAGCCAGGCCACAACCTGCAGTCGTGGAGCTGGCCCAGAAACTCAACAAGGCCAGCCTGGAGGAGAGAGAGCCAGAGAGGCAGCAGGTGGAGGAGAGGGTTAAGTTAGAGGCCCCATCCCAGCCTGAGCCCACAGAGAAGGCTACAGCTGAGAGAGTAACAGTCCAGGCCCCAGCTACCACCATCAGACCAGAGACAGAGGGGCCCCAGGACCTGAGGGTGTTTGAGCTCAACTCTGACAGTGGGAAGTCTACACCTTCAAACAATGGCAAAAAAGGTAAAAGGACATTTTATTAAGTTATTGGTGTGACTGTGGTAACAGGTTTTGATTGAATAGGGCCTAAGCTGTTCATCAAATCAAAATCAAACACATTTTTATTTGTCACATGCGCCGAATACTGTGAAATGCTTACGTACGAGCCCTTTCCCAACAATGCAGTGTTAAAAAGTACGAAAACAGTTATAATTATCAAATAAGAAGGGAAAAAAGGAAACCGTAACAAAATAACATTAACGAGGCTTTATACAAGGAGTACAGATACCGAGTCAATGTGCAGGGGTACCTGGTAGTTGAGGTAATATGTACATGTAGGTAGGGGTAAAAGTGACTAGGCAATCAGGATAGATAATAAACAGAATAGCAGCGTGTGTGTGTGTGGCATCAATAGGCATGTGTGTGTGTGTATATATGTGTGTGTGTTGGTGTGTCAGTGTAGTATGTGTGGGTAAAGTTCAGTGAGTGCACAGAGCCAGTGCAAGAAGAGTGTTAAGTGGTCCTATCTGACCCTGTGCTTCACCCTGACCCCTGCAGGGTCCAGCACAGATGTCAGTGAGGACTGGGAGAAGGACTTTGACCTGGACATGACAGAAGAGGAGGTCCAGATGGCACTCTCAAGAGTTGACGCTACAGGAGAGGTGGGCAATGATGTATTTGTCATAACATTTTTCTTGTTGCATTTCTTCTAACCCCAAACCGTTAAAAAAATAACATGCCTTAGAAACAATTATGTTGATCTAAATGACATGTTTTATTTTTCAGCTGGAGGACTGGGAGAACTGGAACTGATGATTACCGTGCCGTAGTGTTTCTATCCGGTCATTAAAGCCAGTTCTCGGCAGACGAACCATGCTTAACGTGTTTTACCCCTTTGTCCACGCCGTCACCATGTCACATTTGTTCATAGGGGAATGTCCCTTTGGTTTGGACCATGTTGAAGGCACTAGCAAAGCAATGGGAATCCAAGGCAACAAGATTAGAGCCAAGGCAGCATCAGCTGTCAGTTTGTGCATATAGGTCTCAAGGCGTCTTGTTGGTTATTTCTTGAAACAGCTTGTATAACTTAGAGAGAATATGACACTAGTTTAGGAATGGTTATTGTTCCATTTGACTAAAGCTATGTGAAATGTATTGGCTTGTCAGGATGAGAATGGGTTCACCACATAAGGGAAGCTGCTGCGCTCCCTCTATCTTCTGAAATGCCATTAAGTACATGTAAATTGTTGCTAGTGAACTTCTTCAAAGTTATGAGTGGCGGGAATTATTACTTAACTTTAGGCTGCAGAATAGCCATAAAACTGTAACGCTGCTTATCACCTTTCATGAGATGGAATTATTCATGTGGTTTATTGAATGGTGAATATATTGATTTTAGAAAAAATTCTCAAGTGATTTACTAACTCATCTATCTTATGCAAGTGAATATTCATAAAGGAACATACTTTGGCCTTCATAGAGAGCATTCATTTTGGATTCACTCCCAACTCTAGATACATATGACCTTGATAGACACGCGATAGTGTGGACAAGATATCCAAATGTTTTGTCACACAAGACACTGATCTGAGTTTAAACACAACCAATCCATGTTGTACATTTTACATTCTATGTTTTCATCCCTGTCCTGCTAAGTAATTGATGTGAACATATCTCTTCTGTGACCTCCAGGGGCCACGTTTCCTCTTTATTTCCTGTCTCTGCTACATTAATGTTCACATCTATTATTCTATCTGTCCATGTCTAATATTATTCTTGGTGGGTAAGGGTCACATTTATTGTCAATCGTCAAAAGAGAAGATAATGACGCAATAAAGAGGCTGCAAAATGTTTCAGGTGTCATGGTGCCAGAGTATTGGGCTTGGATGTCTGAGGGGGTATGGTCTGTTGTCATGTTATTTCTGATGTAAAATAATTGAAATCCCACAGCCTGCTTTGCAATGCTTAGTATGGACATATATACTGCACAATAGCTCTGAGTATGGAGTTAGCAGTGTGCAGAGAGCCAAGAGGCAATGAGGGCTTTGCTTGATTTATTAAACAATACAGTATAGACTAGCTTTTGCCCTTGAGCAAGGCACTTAACCCTAATTGCTCCTGTAAGTCGCTCTGGATAAGAGCGTCTGCTAAATGACTAAAATGTAAAATGTAAAATGTAGCTTCATTCTGCAGTATCGCGTCATGCTACTCTGATATTTTGTCTTCATCAGTGCAAACAGTGACCAAGACTCAAAGCATAAAGATGTAGTGTACAGAACTCTACAATGACTGATTTTCATGTGAATATTATTACTCTGTGCATTGTTTTGCATGTCAGTGCAATCACTTCATCGTCTACTTATGCAAACTGTTGTAGAGCAGGTGTACTGTTTTAAGTTGTAAGGTCGCTTACTAGCTTGTAGTTGCAAAGGGAATGACCTGTTTATAATGAATTGATTGATATGTTGCAAGTCTCAAGTTCTCTCTCTATGTATTTCACTTTAATACATATATTTGCACTTTAAACACCAAAACGTTTAAAGCTGTTAATTTTTTAGGCAATTATATTTTCCTCTATTTTTCAAATGAGCATTGTCATTAAAAAGAGTCATGCAAATGAATAGTCAGTGTGTGTTGGATTTAAATACAAGATAATGTTCCTAATAGGCACACTTATAGAAAAAAAGCTCAAGTGGAGTTTGACTCCCAGCTATCACTGGGTTTCTAGTAAAGTATTGCTGCAGTAAAGTGAACTCATCAAGAGCTAAAAGTGTAGGCCATTTCTTTACCATAATGTTGGCACACACCTTGCCAAAGTAACGTCGTCACTTTGAGGTGTGATCATTTTAAGCACCACATGGAAGGTTGACAGTTTACTTAAGTTGAAAGCATAATTTCCTTTCGCGGGAAAACGTAAAGTTCGATGATGGTGTAAAAAGGTAAGTACATCTGTAAACCCTAAACAACTAACATATTAATCATATTTGTAACCTAAACGTGTCAAAACCAACAAACCACATAATTAATAGAGATTGAGAGGATCTAGAATCAACATGAACAGAGACCACTACCAGACTAGAGTTTGCGAAAAGAGTTCGCCGCCCGAGAGCCACATAAGCTTACTGAACTTTTTTGCAGCAAAGAAGACTATGTCAAGAGAGCAAGGTTGTTTTTTTCCTTCTCATTTATAGCCAGCTGTGCAGGTGTTCAGGGTAACCACTGCCTGACCATTCGGCGTGAGGAGGAATCTGTAGAGTCCAATGTGAACGAGGCCTCGCAAGGCACCGAGAATTGAGTGACCAGAGAAAGTAGCAGTTCAATTGCTGGTGATACAATATCATTTACATTACATTTTAGTAATTTAGCAGACGCTCAATTTATCCAGAGCGACTTACAGTTAGTGAATACATATTTTTTTAAATACTGCCCCCCCGTGGGAATCAAACCCACAACCCTGGCGTTGCAAACGCCATGCTCTATCAAGCTACATCCCTGGCGGCCATTCCCTCCCCTACCCTGGACGACGCTGGGCCAGTTGTGCGCCGCCCATGAGTCTCCCGGTCGCGGCCGGCTGCTACAGAGCCTGGATTCGAACCTGGATCTCTAGAGGCACAGTTAGCACTGCGATGCAGTGCCTTAGACCACTGCGCCACTCAGGAGTATCAAATGTGAGACCTAATGTATAATTAGGGGACATTCGCAAATAAACGTTAACATTTAAATCGAACCAACCTTTATCCTTTGCTAAACTGTTTTCGTATACATTTATGTAAGTTTATTGATTTATGTCTGGTATGGCTAAGTACCATTGACACTGATCTCTCGCCTCCCTTGTGCAATGGACTAACGGGCATCCCAAAAAAATTATTATTTCAAAGTTGGCCACCAGGTGGCAGTGTTGCTCTATTTACCTAAAATTAAGATCATGACACTCCTTTCCACCCCTTTCCAATGGTTGATGAAGCACCATTGTTTATCCTTCAAAACCACTGGAGCTAATTCTGAATTGGCGTTTATGATTCACAGTTTACCCCTTCACAATAGATCCCAATTTTCTCCATGTCCAAAGCTGCAATGGGTATTTGTAGAGATACCATCTTTCATTTTTTTACTACTAGGATGGGGCAACGGCAGAAATCCTTCATTGGAAAAATGCTGCTTTAATTTCATAGTGTTTCCACAGAAATGGATGCATATGAACCCATGATAGTACATTTGATATCTGAGGTATTTTGTATCTAGTTCCACCATTTTATAATGGTTGTCATGAGAGTGTATGGGCTTGGCTTGTGTTTGATTATGATGGCAGTTGTGGCGTGTGTCTGCATGAGACAGAGTGGTTAATTTAGGTCACACAGAACACATGCAGAGCCTGTTAATTTTACCCTCTTGTTTTCTAACATGGATGCTACCATAGCCCTCGTCAAGAAATTGCCATTACAGACATGAAGAATACGCGTACACACATCTCTCTCGCTCGCTCACATGCACACACTCATGCATACACCATCCCACAATCTCTGTGATATCACTTGCGGCCACCCCTGACACAATAGGAGGTGGTCTGGTGGGTGTGGTTCTGGGGTAGGATTGGAGGATGGATGGGGGAGATGGAGAGTGACTGGGTGATACAGAAAGAAGGTCATTGATTTGTCTTGCTCTCTCTGGGTAGTCATGGCTCTCTCCCATTTTGCTTATATCTTAGCAGAGAGACAGGTTCACTGGCAAATCAAATCAAATTGTATTTGCCACATGCGCCGAATACAACAGGTGTAGACCTTACAGTGAAAAGCTTACTTACAAGCCCTTAACCAACAATGCAGTTTTAAGAAAATAATGAAAGTGTTAAGTAAAAAATAGATAAGTAAAAAATAAAAATAGCAAATAATTAAAGAGCAGCAGTAAAATAAAATAACAGTAGGGAGGCTATATACAGGGGGTACCGGTACAGAGTCAATGTGCGGGGGCACCGGTTAGTCGAGGTAATTGAGGTAATATGTACATGTGGGTAGAGTTTAAGTGACTAATCCATAGATAATAAACAGAGTAGCAGCAGCATAAAAGAGGGGGTGGAGTGCTCTGCTTAGACCTTTTCTTTGTTTGACTCTCTAACTTTGATCTCTTGTAGAGAATTTGTGAGATGTATCACTGCAGTTAAAAATATTGCTAAAAGGGCTGGATATAACCTTTAAGAATGTAATGTATATGCTCTCTACATTCAGCGGACTGCACAAGTCATGTTAGAGTCCTTGGACCTTATATGAGAATTCAGGTGGTGTCTATGCAACACTATTCTGTGAAGTACTGCAGAGTAGACTATGCAATAATGTTCCATGCAGGTTACCTATAATAGTGGGGGAAATAACTTAAATTAAACATTCTCCTAAACTATTCCCTCTTGGAGCCCTTTATTCAGCAGAAGTGCTCTGTAGGAATTTCCTGTAGGGAATGACTGCTCACTTGGATTGGTGGTATGTGTGCTTTACTTTACTATAGAGTCTCAACTCTCAAGGCATTGGTACCACAGTTGTTAATGGTAAGTACAGCAGACTGCTTTAACAGTAGTTACTGACAGTATGGAATGGAATGTACGCTACTGTAGATGAATGACACATTAGACTGATCTCAGAGTCCTCCTATTACAGTAATGAATAACCACATAAGAAAGATGAGAGAGATGGATTGTAATAAAACAACTCTAACACTGTAATATAGCCTACTGTACCATCAAGTGAGAGCGCAACATGGTACATTCCCTATATGATCCTATTCTATCTACTCTGCTGCTCAACTTGCACTCCCTATCTTCTGTTGGCCACGCCCAAAATGCATAGATGTTTTTAGCTTGGCTGCATCTTTAAAAAGAAAAGTACCATTTATTTGGACAGTTCATGTTTTTGCTCGCAAGATTTTAAACAGAAATAAACGTGACACAGTTGCCTCTATACCTACTGTAGGTAGTCAGTCCTCTAACACCCCTCCAAAGCGGCATAGTACAGTCTTCCCTCCAACTCTTCAAAAGTGCTCTGCCTCTCCATTTTCTCACCATCTCTCTATTCCCCTTTCTCTCTGTGACACACACACACACACACACAAAGAGAGAGAGAGAGAGGGAGGGGAGGGGAGGAGGGGGGGGTGGGGGGGATCACGATGAGGTCATTGTCTTGAGAGAGAGTATTATACTGGGCACAAGAAACCCTGTAACCCCAGTGCCTTTCAACAGGCACAAAAGACTCTCACTGGGGGAGGAGGTGGAACACTATGGAATGTGGAACCAGGGCTTGGAGACGGACTAGACCTCCACATTCACACAGCTGTGAGAGTGTGTGTGCACACGGTGAGTGTGTTCTCTACTACACACACAGACACTTGACTATTAACGATTGTCTTCATGAAAAATGTGTGCAATCTGAGATATGTCAAGTTAACACTCACTAGACTACATGGTAGGGAGACAGTCAGTCCAATTGAATAAGGTCTCTGTTGGCTTTGAGCAGGACTCCTGAAGGGCTCTAGAGATGCTTCTGACTTTTTCTGAACAAACTTTGAATTTCCCAAAGTTCAGCGTGGGAACTGGCCACTTTGTTTCTGCTAAGTGGTGTTGGAGAGCAATGTGGGTTTGAGTTGGTAGGGGAGGGCAGGGGATGGGGGAAAGCTATGTTAACTCCCCCTCCATTCAGATGTATGGTTCCCGGAGGGTTTGTGTATTCTTATTGTAAGCAAACATGTAGGCTAGACATCTTATTCTCATATGTTTTTTATGAGCATGTTTGTACATGTTTGAAAGAGTGTGTGAACATATGCGGTTTGTACGACTGTGTGCGGTGTGTGTGTGTGTGTGTGTGTCTGTGTGTGCATATGCATGTGAGTTGAGTAGACAGTCCTCTCCGACTGACCTCTCCATTGACCTTAGTCCTGTTCCAGTTCCTCTCTCTGTCCCTCCATTCTGAACATCCCGTCCCTCCTCCCTGTTCCATTCTTCTTCATTCATTACCATCCCCACACTCCTATCTCCTGCTCTGGGACACCAGCAGACCCATTCATGTCTCACTGTTTCATTCCCTGCTCTCATCAGAGGACCACACACGCCCCCGTCTCATCAGCCAGACAGTGAGTATGAGAGTGTTGCTGTGGAGCTGCAGTGTGGAGCGGAGGGCCAGTCTCTGTCTAGCTATGTTTCACTGGCTGCAGCCAGGCGGATTAAACTGTCAAAGCTAGACCATCTCCGCCGTTATTCAACAAATTAAGGCTGACAGGAGCTATTATATAAATTTGCCACATACTGTAAATGGCAGTATGTAATTGTGTTTTCACATATAGTCCTCTTTAAAAGAAGTGATATCAGTCCTCTTTAAAGTGAACTCTGGGGTAAAAAAAAGAGCAAAAGAACTCAGTTATTTTTGTATTCACACTGCCCTTGCGTTTCAATGAGGACTCAACTCTTTTGCCAGTTCACTTCACCTTTTTTGTGGTCCAAGTCCTCTTTGCATTCACATTGCTATGTTTAGAAAGGGATCAGGATATTTTTCCAACATTCATTAAATTACACTGGATAAAAGTTCAGGACAAGTAATTCCATCAGAACGTGTTATTGGACAGCTAGATATACCTACT